TGTCGAATACCTCTTTTCTCACCACTCTTCATTTCAATTTTCACACTTATTTTCCTTCCTTCTCAAACACAAGAAGATTTCCTTCATCCATCCTTTCAAATTTCGAAGATTTGTGGGTGTGTTCAAGAATTCTTCATCATAGATCACCACTAGGTAAGTTATTATCACTCTCAAATGATTTGTTCCATTTCATGTAAATACTCTCACTCATAAACACTCCATTTCGTGTTCTAGCTTCCTAGAAACATCCAAGTTTCAAAAACTCTTCCTAGAAGCATTCAAGGCCAAATCTCCTTCATTCTTCTCTTCAAAACCCAACTAACATCAAGGTGAACTTCATACCCCCTTGTTTTTTAGTTTTACTATCTTTTAGGGGAGAATACAAGATAGTTTTGTGGTTAATCTTATTATTATGCATGTATGTGTGTATTTTTTATGTTATATGGTGTGAACATGTCATGAAAACTTGTTAAACAACCACAAAATTTGAAATATCTTCCAAGTATTGGTGATATTTGTAAACAAACTATTAGAAGTAACTTGTAAAATGTTTGAAAAGAGTAAACATGAAAAATTTACTAGAAAATCCAAAGAATGTGTATAAAAGGACCATTCTTAACAAATAAGATAAAGAATATGGGCTTTTGGAGTCATTTTCGGTTTTGTGGAGCAAAAGTGTTATTTTTCATAAAAATGGATTTTATTTGGAAATTTACGGTTTCATGGGCTAAAAATATCATTTTTTTATAAAATGGGCCTTATTTGACTATTTTCGATTTTAATGGGCCTAAAATGCCATTTTTAACAAAAATGGACCTTATTTGTAAACTTTCGGTTATAATGGTCCTAAAATGTCATTTGCAATAAAAGGGGCTTTTTTTGTAAATTTTCGGCTTTGATGAGCCAAAATATCAAATTTTGATAAAAGTGGGTCTATATTGAAAATTTTCGGTTATTTGGGCCAAAAAGGTCACTTCTAACAAAAATGGGACTTTTATGTCATTTTTAGTACTAATTGGACTATAATGATCATTTTGATAATAAATGGGCTCTTTACGACTTTTTACTCAAATTGGGCTTGTTACACTCATTTACATGTTTATTGGGCTTTACATACTCGTTTCATACTTATTGGACTTGTTATACTCAATTACATGTTTATTGGGCCTCATATACCCATTTACATGCTTATTGGGCCTTGTATACTCATTTCATGTTTATTGGGTCTTATATGCCCATTGACCTTCTTATTTGGGTCTTACGACACATTTTATGTTAATCGGGCTGATAACAATAAATATTTGACATTTTGATAAAAAAAAAACAAATTGTATTTTTCCAATGTTTTGTAGTCAAATACGTACTCGAAACATTATTTAAAACATTAAATAATGTGATACATTGTTCGCATAAATTTAGTTAAGGCTCTTGTGAGACATTCCTTCATTTATACCTACCTAGTGTACACCGTAAAACCTGTAGTTATATCCAGAGTCTACTGGAGGGAGAGCGAGAGTTTGTGTATAGATATATAAGGGATTGACACCCCCACACATGATTTGTTCGCTATAGCTAAATTAGGCCAGTCTAGGGTGACAAATATCTTACATTAAACGCGACACCTGAAAAACGTCATGACAGGCATATCAGTCACATCAAGCATGGTTATAACGACTCACATAGAAATTAACAAACACAATAAATTTACGGAATACATATACTATACTCTTGACACATTGTACGATCTATAAATTTACTACATTACTCGAGTCTTATGGTTTTAAGACCACAACACTTTTACCAACATAAAATATCGGATTTTTGGGGAAATACATTGTACACTATCATTTACCTACAACTGAAAATATAAGATTTTCTAGAACTCTCTTTATACACTGTCAAAATAGAAACACACATGCTGTAATACAAGATTTGGAACAAACCTCTCAAACCATTTTTACAGAATATATATCGGATTTTCTGGTGTTTACAAAATGGTACAAAGTTTTTCATACAAACATACGTATGAACTCACCAACATTATATATGTTGATATTTTCAAAATAACTTGTATTCTTAGGGACTCGGTTAACAGGTCGGCCGTCAAGAAAATGTGGACTTTTGCTGTATTTTTGCTTTCATCATACATTTAATATTTTGGCATGTAATTCGTGAACAAATACAATGATGTAAACCATGTATGTTATATTATTGAATGTATGGTGATGATGTTGTCTATGATTCATTTATATACACTGTGATGATATTACAAAGTGAAGTCACCCACCCCCGAACGTTTCCGCCATTTTGGTTCAGGGATGTGACACTATTCAGGAATAATAACGTGGAAACCCTAGATCGAAACGTAAAAGCCTATATTTTCACACTTTGTGTCACTAATCTAGAGATTTCAACGAAAAACTCCATATCTAACAAAAACATGTGAAGATCTAACAAGATCTGAAAAAGAAAAGAGATCAGAAGATACATTTTGATTCGACAAACATTGAAACGTAAACCAGTGGTCGGAATCGAAAAATGGTGCCTTAAAGCTCTGATATCATGTTAAAAGGTAACTCGACATGCACAACATCAACGATTCTTATATCATTATATGACAAAGAACCTAAAGGTTTTCAAGAACTTACAAATTCAAACCTCGCTACAAAGTCATAATCTACTCTCTGAATTAAACACTCAACCTAAACTACAATGGTTTACAACAATGATCAAGAACTAAAACGATTTACACCAATGTACAAAACTATTATGAAATCCTAACTTAGAGAATGTGAGAACGAGAGAGACGACTAAATGTGTATGTGTGTGTAAAATATTTGAATTGCTTCATCAATACACTTCTTCCAACATATATACTCTTGTCATAGATATGAACCGGGTCATGGGCATAAACCATGAACAAAAAGGATCCACGTGTATATTTCTTGCAAGTTTAATCCGCAACCCACAAGAATTCCATAGGGATAATCACAACCCCTTTGGCTAGAGTTAGAACAATTTGAATACAAACAAAGAATCCAAATATTAACATAAATAACCCAAAAACATAAATAAATAATGAGATTGAATATTATAAAATACCAAGGTTCTAAATAACGTAAGTCGTGACTTGGCGGCAATATCAAGCCTCAAACTTTTCCGAACCTTGGCGAGTCACGACGTTTGTAAGGCGTGACTTAAGGCGGCAATTTTCTATATAATTAATATTTTTATATGTATTTTCAATTATTATTCATTTTTATACACATATATGAGTTAAGGCGTCATTTTGGCAAAGCTTGACGGCAGATGCAAGCCTTGGAGTCGTGGCGCGCTATGGCGGAGCCATGACGAGCTTTTTAGAACCTTGTAAAATACTAAGTATTTCAACAATATTTTAATTATTCTATTATTGAAGTTATTAACTTATTATTATTATTAGCTACCAAAATATCCTATAAACGTATTCTGACATCACAAGTTAATTTAATACAACCATATTCGGTCTAGTTAATAAACTTTTTGCTTCAAATAACCATATGTGTTTTTCAAAACGTTTTTGGTCTAATTTTTGAGTTATGAAATATCTAATGTGTTTTTCTTGGTTTGTGGGTGGATCACAAATTCACAATGGATATTTTGCATTGTTTATTTAAAGTGTTTATTGATTTATTGTTGTTTGATAAAGTAATAGAGGATTTTAGATGTTTGGGTATGAAGATTCATAAGCAGTTATTAACTTAAATAATGAGTTTTTTGATAAATTACTTTTTTCTTACTTATTGACGTATTTAAGAAGTTATTTATAGGTTAATTACTAACTACACATATAAGCATCATTTCTTAAGCACTAAAAACTAACTTATTAGCTTATTACGTTTTGTACGGAATAAAGTTAAACCAAACTTTTCTTTTTAAAATTTCCTTTTGTTACCGGATAAACAAATAAAGTTTTACTAAAAAAACATAAGATTATATGTTTTAAATAAATGATCCCAAACACCCCTAATAAAAAAGATTGAAAAAGTTGATGGGTTAGTGGGTTGTTTCCTTCTATTCATTGTAGAAGCGCATTAAAGTTGTGTTCATTCGCAAGCATATAATTTATAATTGGCCCAATGTCTTTGAGGATATCTGGCTGGCCCACATACACATTGAATATCTTACGGGTGGAGGGTGATTCTTTAACCGGAAAATTGACTGTGATAAAAATTCAAGATTTTATATGAATAAACTTTTTAAACAGAATAATTACCTTCATTTATGGATCGAATGTGGCATATTTTGATGAGAAATAATCACAGCTCTACATTTCAAAAGGGCCCCATCAGTTTTCACTATTTGAGTATTTTCTACAATTTCCACATCCGTATATAATATAGCACGTGCTTGTATCTAGTTTACATCAAAACTGATATTGATTATTTTAAACCTTCGATATTAAGAAATTTATCGTCGGTAATTGAGGTTTTCTTCATCGGGGAAAAAAAAATAGTAACGATATACTGGATTATTCTATGTTGGAAGGCATATATTTCAATCTATTCTTATATATCGATTATACAATATTTCACTAACATGTATATGATCAATTATATATTCATAATAAAGATGCCGTTCATATCATTAATTTTCACAAGTTATTTTTTCAGAATTTGTAATTTAATCAGTCGCTCTTTGTAAATGATCGTTTCACTATGTCGTTTATTTGTTAACTATATTGTAATGTAGTACAATCAGGTTTTCGAATTTTTATATTTTCCGTAATTAATTTGAATCATAACAGGACCTTTTTTTTAACATCGTCAGTGACTCACATGGAAATCAAATCAAAGTGACTTGTAAGACAATACATGAATAAAACTAACTAAAGTTAAACCAGGATCGAAGCATACGAGCAAGTGGTAAATAAAGTTAAAAGTATAATGTCAGGGTAAAGTAGTAATTTTGTCTGTATATTTATATGTATTAAATATAAAATATAATATTTGAGAATTTCAATGGAAGTTCGTATGTATTTCTTTTCAAATCGTCCGAAACTGAACAAATTGTGAAATTTACAAGAAAATCTTGTGAATTAGGCATATCTGAATCAATTTCGTTGAAAATGTTGTAAATTTCGTTATAAATTTGCAAAAACGTTATGCATTTTAGAAAAGGAAAGGTACGAAGACGACATTTGTCATCATCCTCACCAGGTCAAACACTTGTTCGCCAAGGCTCCTCCTTCAATAACAATAAAATCATTTAATTTAATCTTAACCGAAACAAATTTTTCATAAATGTTTCAAATTTCAGCGATCAAGTTCAACCCAATACGACATGGAGGAAGAACAAGAACAAGAGAACAATTCTACTGATGAAACCTCAAGGTGAGTGAAATTTTTACTATAAAATCAACTGTAGTAGTGGTGATTTGGGTTTTTTGATGAAATCAATGAAACATTGAATAATTTGCAGGTTGAAGATTAAGGAAGACTATATAAGCAAATTACCATATGAAGTTCTTGCTCAAATTCTCTCAATTTACCCTTTGGATTCTGGATCAAAAGCCGTAGCTATCTTTACAGGTTTATGGAACAGACCCTGCATCCAACATAAAGGAAGAACAGTCAAACTTCAAGATTTTGAATCGATCATTAGTAGTTTCCTTGTTAATTTCGATGAAAACAATCCTTTAAAGAAACCCAGAAAGCTTGAATTTCATTTCAATCGAGGGTCGATCGTCACAGCGTCAATCGGGTTGAACAAGAAACTGAATCTGGATTTTTCCAAAGGAAAACAAGAATTCCCAAGGCAATTTGGGTGGGAAATCGTGTTAAACACTTTGGATTTTGCTCAGCCTTCTCCATATCCGTTTTCTGTGAAGACCCTGAAATTAACTTCAGTTAATTATTTAAGCTGCGAATTGGTTACGTCTCTGATCAACAAATTTCGGTATGTTGAGACATTGATCATCGACAAGTGTAATGGACTGAGGTCTTTGAGGGTTGAAGGTCTTGCCAAGCTTACCAACTTAATCGTTCGAGATTGTGTTGATCTTAAGTCGGTTTTCATCGAGACTTTGGAGCTCAAAACTCTTCGATATGGCGGACCCCTGTGCTGGTTTTCGTTGAAGAATGTAATGTACTTGGAAGACGTGATGTTAGATTTCGAATGTCCAGGGTTTATCCACTTGAATCATCACCTTTACAATCCGCTCTTGCGAGCAATTCGAGATGTTAAAGTGCTTACATTCCATGGATGGATGTTTAAGGTAAGTTTGTATTGACTTGTAAATAGTTCAACAGTCTTTGATTCGGTTTCTTGTAGGACGTATTTCGACAATTGCTGTTTTCGAAGCAAAACGAGGAGCATTTCAGATTCAGCAAACTTGAAGATTTGTGGTGGGTTGATTCTTGTATGGAAGATCATCACATCAATTGGTTGTTTTGTTTCTTGAAGTTCTGCACTTCTCTCAAGAGGTTGTTCATAACTGTAAGTTCCCGCCTTCTTTTGTCATAAATCACGCTGATATCGATGTTTAATCGATCAATCAGTTCTTCCACGAAGGTTCTAACATGGCACAATGAACTTGCAGATCGACCCACGAAGCTACTCGACGCCGTCTGCCGGTGATGATGAGAGGCCCATCAAGGTCCAAAAGGGGCAACTCCGGAAGCTGAAAATGGTGAAACTTGAAGGATTTAAGGAGGAGGAAGACGCAATGTTGTTGAAGGAGCGTATGTTGGAAGTTTTCGGTGCTGAACCTCGAGTTGTAGACGTGAGTCAGGGGATGCACGCCAGGTGTTTGATAAGAATCCCGAAGCGACAAGCGTTTGGTAAAGAAAAAGAATCAAAAAAGGTGAAGTTTCACTACAAGTTTGTGGAAGAAGTTGAAGGCAACGGAGGTTTGTGTTCTAGGCATCCTCACATGCCATAAAAATTGCATCTTTTCTCACATTTTGACCAATTTTATGAAATAAACCACGGATTGTAATTTGGAAATTCTAACGGAGTTACCATTAATCAAGATCATACTATATAAATAACAAAACAAAACAACACATCTTATTTAATCCCCTAAAAGCAATTGAAAAAACTTAGCCTACTTTCCAAAAAATGACAAAATCAATTTCACTAATAATCATAAACTAAACCAAAAAACCAAATAATCAATAATCGGTTACCGGAAGCGCCTCATGCTCATCTATAAAAATATTATCATATATAAGTGCTGCAATAGTGGCACCAAGAAACGGGCCGACCCAGTAGATCCAGTGATTTTTCCACACCCCGCTCACCACGGCTGGACCAAAGCATACCGCCGGGTTCATTGATGCACCATCATACGCACCGCCAACTAAAATATTTGCACCCACTATGAACGCGATTGCCAAAGGTGCAATAATTCCAATATTGCCCTTCTTGGGATCCACTGCGGTGGCGTACACCGTGTAGACTAGACCGAATGTCATCACGATCTCCAACACGAGTGCGTTTCCAACTGTAACATCTGGTGATAGCCCACACGCTGGTGTTGCCTACAATCATTTTTTATTTTAATCCACAACATATGTTTTAAAATATAAATGTAACTAACATGTGAATTAAGTAATATGTGAATTAAGTAATAGTGTTTATTTATAGAAATATTTGGGATTGTTTATTTAAAACAACTTATGTTTGTTTTTACTTTTTACTTAAGTTATGCGGTATCAAACCTATTATTAGATTTTAAGTTGAGATGTATTTTGAAGAAAAAAGAAACTCTATCGACAAACATGTAAACTTGTTAGTGTCTTAATAAGTTTAGTCAAGTTTTTTTTGGCTTATGTCGTTATATTCCGGTAAAGTTCAGAATTGAGTTTAACCGTTTGGTCTTACCATTCCACCGGTGACATACTGGAGGAGCAAGCAGGCGACAAGGGATCCGAGTAATTGACCGATCCAATACACAATCGCGCTTAAAAACGAGATATTCCCGCCAATGAAGGAGCCAAATGTGACGGCCGGATTTACATGGCCGCCGGAAATGTTTGCACCAACCGAAACCGCCACAAATAAGGCAAAAGCATGGGATAGGGAAGCCGCCACTAGGCCTGACGGCGTTGCCGGAGCATCATACGTCAGCTTACCTGATCCCAATAGTTAATTAATTAAGAAATTAAAAAAATATATATTTTTTATTTCATTAAATAAATAGCATAATTAACAACATACCGTAAGCCATGCCGGAGCCGGAGCCGGCAAATACAAAAATGAAGGTGGAAATGAATTCCGATAGGCCGGATTTGAGTGTATTGGGGTGGGCGGCTTCCCCCGGGGATCCGATGGTGATTCTGTAAAGAGGCATGTTTTGGGGAAAAATAATAAATGTCTGTAAATTTGAAAATCGATCACTTGTGTTGAGTGTGATCTGGGTGGTAAGTAGAGAGAGTATGTGTTTATAAATACCAGAAATAACGGCTCAGGAACCCCGGTATTGCATAGCAAGCCCGATTAAAAAGGATTCAAAAGAGGTCAGGTGATGACATGTGTATGGTGGAGCAAGAAGATGCTAAAAAGAAGCTAAAATTTTGACCCCGATTCTAGGGTTCAGAGCAAGAAGAAGCTAAAATTTTGATCCCGACTCCTTCCTTTAGCAGACGTCGCCGCCTCCTCCGTCTTCCAGCCACCACATCCCCCTCCACCTGCAGCGCCTCCTTCTGCCCAGCACTGTGCATTTTCTGATTTTGTTCTTCTTACGACCAAAAGATGCCCGCTTTAGGTTTGTTTTTTTCTAAAAAAATCATTTTCTGATTTCGTCTGTTGAGATAGATTATAGAATTTGTATTCTGCAAAATCGATTTCATTTTTGAATTTCTGATCAAAATTTTTGGGCAATATCATTTTTATTTGTTTTTTTGTTTTGCCTTGAAAGTTGAAACTACCCAAAGTACCCCCCCTGTAACATTGTTCTTTTGTACTTATTGTATTATTGCACTTTCAAATCTTTTCTTATTATTGTTTTAACGCCCACCAAATTTAATATTTTGAAGAATTTCAACAATGAAGATGGACACATGAGGTATGCTTGATCATTCCATAATAAGCGAAGATAAGATGCACATATAACCATCAAACAGATTTTAGTTACATATTTGCTTATTGGATTGTATTTTCTTCCTTGGGTTTGATCATGTCTTGAATAAGCTGCTCTTTATTTAAAATTTTAATGAATATAGATGGTCAATTAGAAGCATTATAGAAAGACATGGAGAATATGCTCCATGCCTTCAAAATATTATAATTGTAATTGATAAAAACGACAAACATGTTAAATTTTATTTAAGTATTTCTGCTTTTTTAAATGTCTCAATGTTCTTGGTGTTTGCCCTCTTGTGTGTATATATAGATATGATACAAAATATTAACACTACGAAACTAACAAAGTTCAAAAACGAAATAGATAGTACATATGGTAACACTAAAAGGTCATAGAGCAACGTTACTTTTTTCCTATTTACAAAAAGGTCCCTAAACTTAAGGATGATGGTCACATTTGACTCATAACAATAAATAATAATTCAAGAAAGAAAGGTAGTATACTTAACGTGGGTCTAATGTCAACCAAAAGTGAGGTTTTAAGTTTTAACACTTTCTTCAAGTGGTTGTTTGCGACTTAAAAACAATTTTAGAAAAATATTATTACACAAATAAATATGAATTTAAACATGATTTGTTTTATTTTGTTGGGTACAAAATAAGACCTCAAATAAGCAAAAAGTTAAAAATAATTAAAATTCCGTTTATTTGTGATGTTTGAGAACTAAAACAAGTTAAAATTTGAATAATTATTTGTAGTAAAAAAAAAGACTTAAATGAAATTCTTTTAATCTAATAAATCGGGAAGAATTTAGTGACAGGATATGAACATCATTAGAATACTTTATAAACAATTTTCACGTCATTTTATATGTAAAGGTTAAGTGCCACATGAACATATGTTTTGTGTATTCTTCATTGATCAAGTAAAGGTAAAATCATGAACATATTTTGAGGTTTGGATCCATGGACACAAGAAAAACATATGATGCATGATTTTATAGAAACCAACCAAAGATATAAATGAATCAGCCTTTATGACAGTTTTTTTTTTTTTTTCCACTCTTCCATCAACAGATTTAAATTACAAACACACCCATATAAACCAGATTCTCATAAGTCATAACAAAAATATAAAAATGATTGAATTAATAAAGACCAAAACAAGAGCAAGTTGAAAGGATTCCAAGTCTCTTTATATACACAAAGAATTACAATACTACCATTACTTCCTCCATTTTTAGCCTGTATCAACTTGCATATACAAATCTATAAAAAAAATCATCAAAAATAAACAAACACAAGTACACAACCATTCTTCTACAACCAACAAAAATCAATATACCACGAAGCTTCCTTCGCCTCCAAAAGAATACTCTCTCCTCGAATCTCATTCAATCTACAAACCCTAAAGAAGCCTATGTTGACGTACACCCTTCCCAAAATGAGGTTGCATTAACCTCACATACAAACCATTCTTCTCCATCAAAGAATCATGCCCACCTTCCTCAACAATCCTCCCACCATTAATCACAACAATATTATCAACATGTCTCATCATAGCCGCTCTATGCGCTATCAAAATCGTCGTTTTATTCCCCATAACCAACGTATCAAGCGCCTCTTGAACCACCCGACTCGACTCACTCTCAATCGCCGAACTCGCCTCGTCCAACAACAAAATCGGCGCGTTTTTCAAAACCACCCTCGCTATCGCGATCCGCTGCTTTTGACCCGGGGTCAACTCCACCCCTCGCATCCCCACATGCGTGTCGTACCCGTGCGGCAAGTTGCTTATGAAATGGTGCGCGTTAGCAATCCTCGCGGCTTCCTTGATCTCCGCCTCGCTCGCGTTATGTCGCGCGTAGATTATATTCTCTTTAATCGTTGTTAAGAAAATCGCGGGTTCTTGTTGGATTACGCCGAGGTGGTTTCGCAACCATCGGAGGTTGAATTGTTTTAAATCGCGTCCGTCTAACGTGATGCTTCCAGAAACCGGATCGTAGAACCGTTCGATTAACGAAATGATCGTGCTTTTACCGGATCCGGAGACGCCGACAACCGCGACGGTTGTCCCGCCGGTTACTTTGAGGGAAAAATTGTTTAGTACGAGGATGTCGGGGCGCGTCGGGTAGGAAAAGTCGATGGTTTTCAACTCGATGGAGCCGTAGACGTTTGGTGGTTTTAACGCGGTGGGGTCGTCGGGGTCGATTTTGGGAATTCGGTCGATTATTTCGAATACGGAGGTTAGGGATTTTCGTCTTTTGAGAATGTAAGGGGCGAGACCGAAAGGCTCGACAAGGGCAAAAGTGGAAAACGAAAAGACGATGTAGGATTTGATAGCGGTTGGGAGGTTGACGTGATGGTTTTTGATTGAGAGTGCGGTGTAGTAAAGGAGGAAGGCGTTGCAGGCGAAGAGAAGGAATTGGGAGAATCCGAAGGCGAAGCCGATTGTTAGGCCGTGGAGGAAGCTTTTTGTGAAGATTTTGTGGAGTTGGAAGCGGTAAAGCTCCATTACTTTGTTTCCGGCGCAAAACGAGACTACAGTGTAAATGTTTCTAACGGAATCTTCGAGGACTAATGATGCTTTTCTGTGCATTTCTTGGATGCCTTTTGAGAATCCAGCTAGCCATAGTTTCTGAAAAGTGTAAATTGGTTGGTGGAATGGAATGACAAACAATACCTAATGAAAACCTTAAAAAACAAACGAAAGCAAGAAACACATGTACAACATGCAATCTGACGTGTACGTACCTGAGCAATAGCGGAAACAGTAAGAACAGGTACTGTAGCCAGAGCCACTAAAGCCAGCCGCCATTCTAAAAGCATCCCAATCAGCAGTGCCACAAGAACAGCCATAACATCTTGTATAAAAATAGAAAGTCGGTTGCTAAAAGCAGCTCTCACAAAAGTTGCATCATTTGCTAACCGCATTGACAATGTATCAGCACTGTTCTCTTCCTCATCAAACCACCCAATTTCATTCCTAAGCATTGCTATAATTGGAAAAAAAAACAATCATCAAATTAACCTTAGTAGTAAATTACATTTTTGGTCCCTGAATATAGTCGATTTTTGCAATTTTGGTCCTTATTTAAGCTTTTTGTACGTTTCGGAACAGGGACCAGAGACATTACAAGAACCTCAAATATGGACCAAAATTGCAAAAAATGACTATATTCAAGGACCAAAAATGTAATTTACACTAAACTTAGTGATTGAGGAAGAAGAATTACTAACCAGAAAACATCATTCTCCTAACTCGTTCAGTCATTTTCTCCCCCATTATCCCAAAATAGAAATGCTGCAAAAAATTTGCTACTACAGTAACAACACCCATGCATGCGATAATTAAGCACCATTTATCCACTTCATTTCGCGTATGTCTGTGGGTGTCATTTTTGTAATATTCTGTGACAACTAGGGCGATTACATACGCAAGAAGAGGGTTAAAAGCACCGAAAATCGCAGCACCAATGCTTCCCAAAACAGCATAAAGCCATTCAGCAAAGCTAAGTTCCACAAGCCTCCACATTGATGGCGGATCTTTTCTATCTTTCTTCTCCTTCACTGATTTGACTTTGACTTTGACTTTGACCGGATGGTGATCAGAACGAGAATTAAGTCGACTGAAAGTTTGTGAATGTGACCTTTCATTATCCGGATCAGATGTCAACAGTGGTGAAATTGGTGATTCGGGGTCAGAATTGAGTGATGTTTGACGTGGGATTGAATGGACATCGATTTTTGGTAAATTTGGTAATCTTTTCTCGAAACTGTCTTGTCTTTTTATTGGTGGCGGGTTTTCTGTTCCATTTTCAACTGTTTTTTTTGGAGATCCGTGTGAGTTGTAATTGGAATCTGGAGATCTTGCTGTGTGTAGGTTGGAGGCTCGCTGAAGTGAGGGCGATTTCGTAAATTTGGGAGATGATGGTTCTTGTGAAGTGGAATCTTTTTCGATTTGGAATGTTGAGGTCTCGTTGTGGGTTCTTGCAGGCATCCTAAAATGATATCAAATAAACTCATTAATTGTTTTTTCATAAATTAAAATTACTCATAAGGAGTAAACTACACCTTTGTAATTTACTTGATCTAATATAAGAGTTTAAGAGCATCTCAAATTACCTTTTTGGGAGTTTAGCTGCTTCTTCACATCTTAAAAGCTCTGCATATAACCCATCTGAAGCTATAAGTTCATCATGTGTCCCAATCTCCATTAACTGACCTTCCTCCATCACAGCTATAAAATCAGCATTTTTAATTAAAGAAAGCCTTCTAGCAATTATAATGGTTGAACGACCCAACATTAACAAATCCAAAGCCTCCTGAACAGATCTTTCAGCTTCAAAATCAAGTCCACCTGTCACCTCATCAAGAAGAAGAATACAAGGATTCGAAAGCACTGCCCTTGCAACAGAAAGTCTTATCTTCTGTTCTTCTGTTAAAGATAAACCAGCCCTACCTACCTGAAACCAAAACATTTTTTTTTTCATTAGGTTAAAAGGGTAAAAATGTAATTTCATATACTCTTTTGGTTTTCAGTCACCTGTGTATCGTATCCTTTTTCAAGTGAGCTAATGAATGTATGTGCATGAGCTGTTTTAGCTGCATCTTCAATTTGAAGTGATGTGGCATCTCTCCCATAGGCAATGTTGTCCCTGATACTTAAGCTTAGTAATGCAGGCTCTTGAGTGACTAAACCAATTTGACTCCTTAGCCATTCCAATTTCAGGTTCTTGATGTTCTCTCCATCTAGAAGAACTTCACCTGAAAAAGAAAACAATAAATAAAAAAAAAAAAGAATATATTATTAAATAAAGGGAGGTATTAGTATTATACTATTACATCAGTTCCCATAAAAGAAATAGTGTTAATGTCATTAGTTGTCAACAAACTGTGAGCATTTTGCACTTTAAGTCCCTAATTGTTTTTTGAGACTCAATAGATCACTGAACTAATACTTTTGTAAGAAATAGTGTGAAGATAGAAAGAAGTAACATATTACATACCTAATGTAGGATCATAAAACCGTTCCATAAGTGGAATAATGCTACTTTTACCAGATCCATTTCTTCCAACAAGTGCCACAGTTTTCTTAGCAGGAACAGTGAGATAAAAGCCACTCAAAATCGGTATCTCAGGACGTGACAAATAACTAAAATAAACATTTCTAAACTCAATATTCCCTTGAACAGAATCAAGAATGTTTCCCTCATTATCAACACTGGATGATGAACGAGCAATCATCTCAAAGAGTCTATATGCTGCAATCCTTCCTTGCTCAAATGAATAAAAATTTGTAGCTGCTTGATTCAACCCAAGCCCACTTAAGATAACAGCAAAAAGAGCTGTGACAATTTCGCCCCCATGAGCATATTTGTGTATAACTAAAAATCTTCCAACATAAAGCTGTAAAGCACAAGAGCAAATTGCAAGCCCATATGTGAACCCAAGTCCTAACCCTTGTACAAGACTTATTAGAATACCATATCTTAATGTAGCTTGTAGTGAAGCTGCATATGAGTATTTTGCTAGTGTTTCGTTTGTGAATGCGTATAATGTCCTCATGTAAGAAAACGCCTGCAAAATGAAAATACGTTACATGTTTTTTTTTTCAATAAGTAACCACAAAATAAATGTTAGTCCTGATCTATTTGTTAGATTTGATGATGACTTTAATACTTAACCTGTTCAGCAACACTAGCTGCTTCAGCATAAGCATCTTGAATATTCTCAGCAAGTCTATGGAGAAATATATTTGATATTCCTCCTGCAGCCACTATAAAGGGGCCAGTTAATAAAGTCAGCCCAGCAATTTGCCAACAGTTGAGGAATCCAATTGCAAGCCCACTGAAGAATGTAGCCATGTTATGGATATAATTACCAACCTGCATTAATGATAATGATGGATGATGTTAAAGAAAATGTTACATGTTAATTCCAATAAGCAAAACTTGATGAGAAAGGAACGTACTTTTTCACTAAGTGCAGACTGGATAAGCAATACATCACTTAATACTTGACTCACAATGTCACCATTGTTGCCATATGTGTCGAAGAAACTCATGTCTTGATTTAGAAGTACTTGGACATATCTAGACCTAATAACAGCTGTCTGCCTTTCTCCGGTAAGAATCCAACATGAAACCTCTGAATGGAAGAGTGATTACAAAAGGGGAATTGTGAAAATGACAGATAAATGAGAGTAGATAAGGATGTGTACCTATCCAACCAGCAGCAAAAACACCACCAGCAATATAAAGAAGGGTCAGAGCAAGCTGCAGAAATCATGAAAGTGTATCAATTTATGGTTTTATGATTTTGATCTTATGAACAGTTGATATCGTGAAGCAACTGATTTTGAATCTCATTAGAAAATCCTGATGATTCAAAATGATCAGAATTCATTGATGATAGGAGGAAATCTAATAACTAGATTCACAAATAACAATATAATTGTTTTCAGAGCTGAAATTAAAAACATCACCAATTTTGGATTTGAAATTTCTTTATGAAGAAAAGAACAGCAGCTCACGATTACTTGTGGTTCAGAATGAAAAGCATAAAGTTCTAATTACCTCTTTGAACCTATGAAAAAGCAAATCCGAACTCTCATCGCCATGACTCAACAACTGAATGATCTTAGCAAAATAATGCAAGTAAACCACAAGCGCAGTCCCATGCGCCGCCGCAGCAACCGATCCAACTACCATAAGCACCCAATCAAACCTATCAGCACACGCGAACAGCCTCGAAAACGGCACTGTTTCCGGAGGCTGCTCGATCTCCTCCGTCTCCTCCATTACATCATCAATTTCTGTAGGAACCGCATCGTTACTTGTGTCTACGTAAGGAGACGGACACTCCGACACCTCCGACACCGGCGTTAGCGGCTGTTGCCGCGGCGGTGACCAACCAAATAAACCTCTTGATACCATCATATTTACAATCTCGCAAACCCTCACAACAAAAAACCCCTAGTTCGAAATTGACACCCTCAAAATCCTAAAACCATAAAGAAATTACAACTTAAGTTCATCGATCCGGGGAAGTATGAATAGATTCTTGTTGAGCTCGTTGAGATTTCGCTCTCTGTAATCTGTGTTAAAGAAAGCAAAAAAGGAGGACGAGAAAGTTGACTGGGAGACTGAGGTTTCTCTGATTCCATCTTGTTTTTGTTCGAATTGTCTGCGTATCAGACGGCTTTACGACGTCGTTTTTCAATCGTCGAGGATTGTGGGTAGTGCTGGTTGCGGTTCATCGGAGATATACTGCAAAAAACGACCCTTAAGTTTTAGGCTTTTTAAATACTGGTCGTAATTTTAGTTTTAATGCACAAACACATCCTCAAGTTTATCCTAAAAAATATGATCTTCATAAGTTATAACAAAATAAGACTAAAAAGATTGTTTTAGATTAGTAAGATGAATTACAAATTATATGAATGTCTTATAATGGTGTATGGGGTTTAGCTCATACATAAAAATGATATGACAACAACCAACATGGTAAGCCTACAATTTACTAGGCTGACCACCATTCAGCAGCTCAGACCAATTGAATAGTCGGAAAAACAATATTTTATAAAATCATTTTTGCAAATATTATGCAACATCCTGGGAAACACGGAAAAAGCAACACTATTATACTGAAGGGTACTACCATTGCAACCTTCGGATAAAAACATAGCTTGGTCAATGAAGTGAGAACTCAGACTTTCTCGACTGTGTATAAGGGCCTCAATATACATCGATAAGGACAAAACCTTCTCACACAAGCAATTTGACAATTTGGCCATTCAACACCTAACATAAGCATCGGAGAGCAATATCGGGGCCTATCCATCGGCATCGGAAGAATCGTGCTCTTCATCGGGCTCAACCTCTAGTCCCTCTTCCTCGGAAGGGTCCTCCTCCATCTCTTCTTCATCTACCATTATCTAGGCCTCATCCTCAGATGCAGGTAGCTAATACTTGGTCTGACGCTCCGTGGTCTGACGCTCCGTGTAATAGGGGTCACCCGATAGTATGGGGCCAAAGCATGGACTTCCCCCCAAATTCATCCATTCGGCCATCTATATAAGAAAGTATTTAGTCAGTACAATGTCTTACTATGTATAAATCAAACACGTATATAAGCATCATACATACTCAATAATTTATTTATCATACACCAATCTTTTTCTTATTTGTTCTTTTTTTTTTCCTTCCTCCCAACTCTTTTCAAGTTGTATGAATATTGGAAAAAAGGTCGTTGGAATATAAGAGAATGATAATCATTTGAATTTATCTATGTGCTTGATTTATTCTAGAAAATAACACACACACACACACACACATATATATATATATATATATATATATATATAGGCTTAGGGAATATGTGATTGTTATGTAGCTAAGCCTATATATAAAAACCTCCAACCTATGATATATATATATATATATATATATATATATATATATATATATATATAAACTAACCATGCTATCTCGTTTACTATTCTTCATTAATCACGTGGCATAATAACCCGGTTAAATTTGTGTTATTTTTCTTCATTGTATCTAAGAACTTAAAGAATTAAAAGTCAGACCATATATATATATATATATATATATATATATATATATATATATATATATATATATATAGGCTTAGGGAATATGTGACTGTTATGTAGCTAAGCCTATATATAAAAACCTCCAACCTATGATATATATATATATATATATATATATATATATATATATATATATATATATAAACTAACCATGCTATCTCGTTTACTATTCTTCATTAATCACGTGGCATAATAACCCGGTTAAATTTGTGTTATTTTTCTTCATTGTATCTAAGAATTTAAAGAATTAAAAGTCAGACCATTTAATCAACCCTACCAAATTTTAAATGAAAACTAATAGAATAAAAGATAAAAGAAGAACATGCAATAACTCAATCAAGCTTTTCACAAATTATTCGATATATTTTTTCAATTAAATAATAGAACATTTGAGTTATATTCGTTAAAAGCATTGATTTTTTATTTTCCCTATAAACTTCAATGATGTTTTGCAGTAAAAATCATTGAAGTTTATAGGGAAAATAAAAAGTTATACTGGTGGCCGAACATAAAAGCTCGATATAATTGATCTTTTTCATTCCATATTTTAACTTCAATGATGTTTCTCATTCCATACTGGTGGCCGAACATAAAAAGTTTATAGGGAAACTTCAATGATGTTTTACAGTAAAAGATCGATATAATTGATCTTTTTCATTCCATATTTTAACTCAAAAAGTTATACTGGTGGCCGAACATAAAAGCTGAAATTGCTACCTATGTGAGCAAGTGTCTGACTTGCGTCAAGGTCAAAGTAGAGTACCAAAAGCCATCAGGAGTACTACAACAGCCGGATATACCCGAGTGGAAGTGGGAACATATAACCATGGACTTCGTAACCAAGCTGCCTGAGACATCGGGTGGGCTTGATACCATATGGGTAATCGTAGACAGATTGACCAAGTCTGCACACTTCCTGCCAATAAAAGAAACCGACAAGATGGAGAAGTTAACCAGGACGTACCTCAAGGAGATTGTGCGACTGCATGGTGTACCAATATCCATTATCTCCGACCGAGATAGTAGATTCACCTCGCGGTTTTGGCAGTCCCTACAAAAATCTTTGGGAACTATGCTTGACATGAGTACGGCCTACCATCCACAAACCGATGGGCAGAGCGAGTGAACCATACAAACATTGGAGGACATGTTGAGAGCATGTGTGATAAACTTTGGTAAAGCATGGGATACCCATTTACCGCTTATCGAGTTCTCCTACAATAACAGCTATCACATTAGCATTAAAGTCGCTCCATTCGAAGCTCTCTACGGTCGCAAGTGCAGATCACCCTTGTGTTGGGCTGAAGTGGGGGATACACAGCTAGCTAGAGGGCAAGTCTCTAATAACACCCTCACTGGTCCTGAAATCATAAGGAAAACCACGGAAAAGATAATCCAAATTCGAGAGAGACTGAAAGCATCCCGAGATTGGCAAAAGAGTTATGCGGATAAGCGACGCAAACCCTTGGAATTCCAGGTCGGTGATTGGGTACTACTAAAAGTTTTCCCTTGTAAAGGAATGATATGTTTCGGTAAACGCGAGAAACTAAATCCAAGGTACATCGGTCCATTCAAAATCCTTGTTAGGATTGGGCCAGTAGCATACAAACTTCGATTACCTCAAGAACTCGATAAAGTACATCCCACATTTCACGTATCAAACTTAAGGAAGTGTCTGTCCAATGAGACACTCGTAATACCACTCGACGAAATCGAAGTTAACGAAAACCTCTACTTCGTGGAGGAACCAGTCGAAATCATGGATCAAGAGATCAAGAAAACGAAATAAAGTCGTATTCCCATCGTAAAGGTCCGCTGGAACGCCAAACGAGGACCGGAGTTCACTTGGGAACGTGAAGATCAAATAAAACAAAAATACCCGCATCTTTTCCCAAACTCTTGAAGTCCCAGTCAGAATGTAAATTTCGGGATGAAATTCCCTCTAACTGGGGATGATGTGACAATAGTCAACTTCGGGTCAAGTCAAAGTCAACGAGTCAAACCGTTCGACTCAATTAACCCTTGTATATTAGGGTTTACGTTATGTAATTATTGTACAACTCGCTATTTTAATGAGAAAACATCATTTGGAAAATTCGTGTGTTTAATTTTCCTTAGCCTTGATAGTGATAAACAATGAACCAAAGCGATGAAACACTATTGCACACTCATCGGGAGTGTGTAGGCTGCTAAAACACGGCTTAACGGGGTTTACGGACCTTACGTTGCGAAGCCGGACACTCAAAAAGGTCATAAACAGAACCTCTTTAAATCTCTTTCACTCTATCTCTCTCTATTTCAAATCTCTCCTAAATCTCTCTCCGTATGTGAAATCTCTCCAAGTATTTCAAATCTCTCCTAAATCTCTCTCAAAAACCTCTTTTGAGTTTTATAATCATTTGGGGCATCCCGACACTTGACTTGGTAAAAAACCACTCAAAAAGGGGTGATATCTTGGAAAATAGCCTCTTAGGGTCGAAGCCTCTCTATAGGGGCCAAGTCCTCCTTGAACCGAGGCCACAAGAACCGAGACCGACGTCCCCTTGAGTAGCCGCAACCATCTGGCCGCATCCACCGAGCCGAAGCCTCTAAGCCACAGCCACCAAGTTGAAGCCTCCTCGGACCGCAGTCAACGACCAAGCCACTCCGGTTCATAGGCTGCTGAGACCGAGCCGCAACCATCTGGCCGCAGCCACCGAGCCGAAGCCTCTGAGCCGCAGCCACCAAGCCGAAGCCTCCTCAGACTGCAACCCCCTTTCCCCTCGGACCGCAGTCAGCGACCAAGCCACTCTGGTTCTTAGGCTGCTGAGACCGAACCCTCGCCAGACTTCGGATTTTCCATCCTTTTTCCGGTTTTCGATCACAACTCCGATTTAAGCCCGCTTCTAATTATTTTTAATGGGTGATTTTCACCCAAACTTGTATTTTGACATATAAGGTCCCATATATTCATAAATTCAACATATTTTTAAGAAATCCTTATTTAAGAATACAATCCATTAAATAAGATTTTGTGGTGGAGTGTTGACTCTTCCACAATGTTTGACACAAGAAACCACCCCATACCCACTCCATGACCAACCATTGTCCTCCCCACCATCCCTAGTTACTTCATAATCCTTTCCCACTCATTTCCCTCCATTTCCACGCCCAAAGAGCTGGAAAATCCACTCTCTCTCTCTTCACTTCACTCACTTTCATTCATTTCCACCAAAGATCCAACACCACTTTTCTCTCAAATTCTCTCTCACAAATTCGAGATTTCCAAGTCATTTTCAGACTTTCCTTCTACATTTGGTAAGTATCATCACTCTCCTTATGGTTATTACATTTCCTTTTACACAAATCATTAATTCCTTACACAAACTCCATTAATATTGTGTTAGATTCTCAAATCTTCAAGCAATCCTCCAAGTGTTCTTGAGTTGAACACTTCTCTCCTTCAACATCCATCCACTAAAATCACACAAGGTGAGTTCATAACCCCATTTTTTTCACGTTATCTTAAGTTTTAAGGGGGGGGGGGGGAATACAAGTTAAAACACCAAGAACACCACTAAATTCTTCTAACAGCTTTCATCAGAAAAGTTGGACTCCATTCATGGACTGTTTTGGATAGCTTAAACACTTTGGTTTTATAAACTGTACTATGTGAAAATAGTTCA